CAAATAAAATTAAAATTCAAGCTATTAATTGTTTTAATAACTTTATTTGATATTGATAAAGAGTAAGCTGGATATATAAATCTAGATAAACTATCCATTTTGGTTAATAATATTCTTCCAAAAATTGTGATGTCTCTTTGTAACCACTTATTTAAGATTGTCTTACATTTGTCAACATTATCTAAAATATTTACTTTTTCTAAGACTTTGTGATCTTCTGAAATTGTGATGCCCAGATATTTTACCTCCTTCTTCACCTTTATACCGTACAGTAATTGTGAATGACACTCCTTTAATGCCAATAGTTCACATTTATTTAAATTTAACTTTAAGCCTGAAGCTTTTAAGAATGTAGTGATTATTTGTTTTACCAGGGGAATCTGATGTTCATTTTTTAAGAAAAGAGTAGTGTCATCCGCAAGTTGACTAATTATTAAAAAATAATCCATAATCTCAATTCCGACAACGCTGCTATTTTTAATTACAATTGCAAGCATCTCCACAACCATTATGAATAACAACGGAAAGAGATTTAACGTCTTTCACGAAGTGTAGCTAACTGTTACTTTGTAACAAAGCGATTAAACGCAAACCGACCGTATTACAAAGTACATGTTTAATATTACTTATATACAGAAGCTCTTCAGCTGTATTAGACTGGTTAACCTATGTCTGCTGATTGTTTGTTTTTCAATTGTTTTTGTTTGTTTCTTGTTTTTTAGCAACTACCGTAATCATGTAATTACATGCGCCATTACTAAAATCACATTTTGTGTCAGGTTCATTAGCAGCTAGTTTCGTCCAACACTGAAAAAAGACAGGTTTTTGTGTTTGTTGCTTTGGTTAATGGAAAATTCAATTATATTTTACAGTACTGTGCAAAAGTCTTGAACCACATTTCTTTATTTTTTGTTTGCATGGTGCCAGGCTTTCTTTTAATTTTTTACGTGGTCCTACGTGGAACTGTTGTTCTCCCCGCTATCTGAAAGTCTTTAAAAGGTTTTCTTTGGGCTACGTCCACACGTACTCGGGTATTTTTGAAAACGCAGATTTTTCTATGCGTTTGCACCTTTCGTCCACACGTAAACGGCGTTTTTGGTCACTGAAAATGGAGATTTTTTAAAAACTCCGACCAGGGTGGATATTTTTGAAAACTCAGTTTTTGCATTTACGAGAAAAACGGAGAAAACGCAGCATCAAAGGTGTGCGCATTTTTTGACGTCACACTGTGCGCCACGTTATTGTTTCGGTGAAATGAATTTCTACAATACTATTACTGTTAATTGTACTCTCTGCAGTGCTTAAATGCTTACATATACACACACAGTTGCTGTCCCTCCACACACACTACTCGGTTCTGCTTCTATGCCCCAGCTTTGTTTACTTTCCCAACGAGGCTTCTAGACTTCTGATTGGCCAACATTTCTGCACGGTTAGGAATATATCGCCACCTGTTGCTTTGGCATGTTCCTAGCAGCGTTTTCCTTCATTTCTGCCTTTACGTGTGGACGGGATTATTTTTTAAAACGAAAACGGAAAATCTCTGTTTTCAAAAATACCCGTATAGCCCAAGACTACGTCCCAAAATACCCGAGTACGTGTGGACGTAGCCCAAAACTACGTCCAAAAATACCTGTGTACGTGTGGACATAGCCCAAAACTACGACCAAAAATACCCGTGTACGTGTGGACGTAGCCCAAGACTACGTCCACACGTACACGGGTATTTTTGAAAACGGAGATTTTCCGTTTTCATTCCACCCTGGCCGGAGTTTTTAAAAATCTCCTTTTTCAGTGACCAAAAACGCCGTTTACGTGTGAACGAAAGTTGCCAACAGTCTGCTGACTCAACATTTGCAGCATTTTACACTGGCGTCAACAGCAGCACAAACACTACACCAGGAGTTTCAAATGAGTTTCTTTTTTGGTTTCAGAAACTGGCAGCAGAGTGTCAGAGTGCTGGCCACCCTGGTGTTTTGGTGCCTTTCAAGTGCGATTTGACCAACGAGGAGGAGATTCTGTCTATGTTTGCTGCAATTAAAGAGCAGCACAAAGGCGTGGATGTGTGCATCAACAATGCTGGCTTATCTCATTCAGAACCTCTGCTAAGTGGCAAAACCAGCAGCTGGAAGAACATGATAGATGTAAGAGCTCATTATCTTAAAAAAGAAAACAAAGAACACTTTGGTTTAATCTGCAACATTGTTTTGGTTTACTGTGTAACAAAGAAACATTCATGCAAATTGTTTCCTTCCAGGTGAACGTTCTTGCACTAAGTATCTGTGCATGTGAAGCTTATCAGTCAATGAAAGAGCGAAATGTGGATGATGGACACATCATAAACATGAACAGGTGCAGTTTCATTTAGTGAAGGACCGTTATTGACATATAGATCTGCTAGTTTAATCACCCCTTTTCCCATATCTTATAATACAGCTGTGCTCACCATTCAGATTCTGATTATGAGCTTCCTTTGGTAAAACTGCACAGTGAACTTTTTAGACAGCAAACATTTGGCTAACGGTAGAAGGACACATGAGGTATCAACAATAATGAGGTCTTTGTTCAGATAAAAATGTGACAAAGAAATCTGCTTAATTAAAGCCAAACAAGAGACCTCGTGTGGTCTGACCTGATTTAGACCTTTGTCTTGCCAAGGTCTTTTGAATCAGGCAGAAACCTAGCCCAGAGACCATGCAGGAATCTGGTACCACTTATTAAAAAGGGTAATTACAGGCTTATTGTCAAATGACACTACTACAGCCTTTACCTTCCCAGAATCCCTGCTTCATTCACCCAGCACGCACAATACCAAATCCTGGAAGATCCAGTGGAATACAGTGCCCATTATTTATTTATTTTCCTGGAAAACTAATTAGGATAGTAAGAGAAAACCTGGAAACTGATCTCAGAGCAGTAAAAGCAGAGCAAGCAGCAGTTTGTCCAACATGCAGGTCTCTCATCTAAGACCGGCAGTCTGCGTATTATTGCTTTCATTGGTCAACCAGAAATTCAGAACCAAAACATTTTCAATTAACTTGGCAAAGACAAACAGTTGTTGTTCATCTGATGCTGTATTTACCTAATTTAAAATATGTTAAAGACCAAGTCATTGTTGTACTAAGTCCTAATATTTAAAGGCTTAAAACTGAAAAAGATTGTATTTTCTTTTTCACATGTATGTGTGGGCTTTCTTTTTTCCTTTTTTTTAGTACTAAGGGCTGAAATTAGACCAAAATCGGTTGGTAAATGCTGACCCGATTAACAGCTTAGAAATCTTTTTCTGTCGCAGCTTGTGTGGACATCAAGTCTTTTCGTTGGCTGATGCACATTTCTACTCTGCCACCAAGTACGCTGTGACTGCACTGACTGAGGGCCTGAGGCAGGAGCTGCGTGCAGAAAACACCCATATCCGAGCTACAGTAAGGCTTTCACTCTAATCAGCTCCAAAGGCTTTTAACACCACTATTTCCTGAGGATACTTCCTGAATTTCCCTCTTTATCCACTCTTCGTTGCAGTGCATTTCTCCCGGTGTGGTCAAGACAGAATTTATGTCACGGCTCTACCATGACAGTCCCGAAAAAGCAGCTGGTATATATGCTGCATTCAAGGTAAAAATACTCTTAAACTTCAAGTACTGTTGACAGGATTACTCAGATAGAAAGTATTTAATAACTTTTCACTTCTCTTACAGCCTATGACGGCAATAGACGTGGCCAGTGCTGTCACATATGTGCTCAGTGCCCCTCCTCATGTTCAGGTTTGTGCTTTACTCTCATTTTCATGCTCTTTCATTTAAAGGCACTGCAGATTCACAGTCATCCAGGTCATGGTAATTTAAGGAGCTTAGAAAGGAAAGTGACGAGACTTCTTTAAGTTTCTTGAAGATCCACTATTGATCATGTGCATCATTGCATGAGCTAAGGCGTGAAAAAGGCTGTGAGTCATCAGCAGAGGTTTTGGGTGAAACCATTATGAGACCTTGCCCTACTTATTGAGACCAACAAACACAAGACATAAGCAGGCGTTAAGACGTCTGGGAGGGGATCTCAAAACTAGATTATAAGACCCACCCCCCCCGTTCAAGGATGGTCGTTCACATAGATCACTCCTCTTTCAACGCATCTGTCTTCTCTGTCAAAAATGTGAACATTGGCATCTTCGAAAGAGTGACCTTTATTCTTTAGATGCAGATGTACAGCTGAGTCTTCTCGCCAGAACCAGACCTGTCTCCAGTTTTGAGATCCCCTCCCAGATGCCTTAAAGTCCACTCACATGTTGTGAGGTTCACCCGAAACCTCTGCTTGTAATGGCCCATACCCTTTTTTACACCCTGGCTCACGTGATGAGGCACATGATGAATAGTGGGTCAACAACCCTCTTAAAGGACAGCCCCCCCTGGGAGTAAAATCTTGGACTCTCCACCATTTCATGTTAAAACTGAAGAATCTTCTTGGATGAGAGGTGATATGTCTCTAAGTCTTTCTTTCCAAGCTCCTTAGAATTTTTATTGAAACTTTGCTCTTTTCACATTTTAAATATCAGCAGTTTACTCACAATATAATAACATTTACATAACTTTTCTTTCAGATTGGAGACATTCACTTTCAGGGTGTGTAGCAGGTGTTTGTTTTCCTGGTAACCCCAGAGCAGGGGCCCAGTCCAGCCTTCACATTAGGGTAGCTGAAAGCTTTATTTTGCATTTAATGCTTGTAGAAGTCAATGGCAGTGATTAATGATAGCTTATTTAACCATTTAATTTAGTTTCTTTTTAGTCCAACTTATTCTACTCTATTAATAATCCCCTGTGATTTTGGAAGATGAGTGCAAAAGCAGCTCAGCTCTCACAGTTTTCATGAAGTGCATAAGCAGGTCTTTGGTGCAGGGTGTGGCCATTTGCCAAGCACAACTTTCCTCAGAGTCGGTCTTTATCCCTGGTCTTGCTGGTCTACATTTTGTGGAATAAGGGATGAAGTGTCCTCATGCTGTTGGATCAAGCACACCTGCATTCATGTGAAAAAGAAATTTTTCACATGCCCCCGTGCACCCACCTGCCCACAACCTCGGCGACACACCAACAAGGACCTAAGCCCCCAAGTCCCAGCCAGAGCCCTAGCACGGAGGCGAAGCACCCCTGAACCCCAACCCCCCACGCCTGCCCCGGATCCACTCAGGGGCAGCCAGGCTACCAGGCCAGTAACCTACGTCCGCCAGTACAGACCCTCCCCCAGCCCTGCTGCACGCAGCCACAAGGAGAACACCCTCTAAGAGCAACCAGAGCCACTAACCAGGTTATGACCACAACCCCTGGGTTAGGCCCTCCAGGGATAACGTCCCTAGGGATTCTCCAGACGCCCTAAGCCCGTCCCAACCTCCACATCAACCACAATGGCAAAGGCGGGACCAAACCACGACCCCCCACCCCCGCTAGGTGATGGAGCCGATCAAAGGAGCCCAGAGGGATTGATCTAATGTGGTGGCAGAGGCTGTCTCAGACTAATGTGATCTATTAGATGGTTTCTATATTGACAGAACCAAAGAGCGTGGATGTAATTGTCTGGTGTATTGCCTTGACAGTGTGAGCAGTTGTTGGAAGATGTAAAGCCCATCTGGAACATCCGATGACCTGTATAGTGCACTCTATGTAGTATTTTGTATTGTATTAATTGCAGACTGGGATTTCTAATCAATTTAAAGGGTTTTAAGCATATCTCAGACCAGAAGTTTTGGTCTAAGCCGACTGACAAATCTGCTTCCCACTTTGCAATAGAAAGGGATATTGATTCATCTGTTTTAGAAAGTGTTCTGTATATTTTAGACAATAATTTAGGGGATTTAAGAGTAAGAAAATGTACCGCGCTTGGTGGTGTTTGCAATTCAACTTGACTGAGGTTAAACTTCTTTTTTACTATGGATTTAATTTGTTGAAATTCTAAAAATATTTTCTTGTTGATCCCATATTGTGTAACTAGTCTGTCAAATGGAATAAAGTCTGTTCCTTCTAATACAGGGGTGTCAAACTCAAATACACAGTGGGCCAAAATTCAAAACTGGAACAAAGTCG